ATAACTACATTAAACAATACCACCTACACCAAACCCTGCCCTAAACCTAACCGATAGTGTTAACAAAAACAAATGTCAGATAAAAATGCACTTGCTGAAGCACCCTTGAAATTTTAGCTTGCCTCTACAAATCTTTGAGCCCTTTAATCGAGACTCATGCTTCACAGAACCGTACCCGAGCACTCCGCATCGCATGTTCAATGCTGTATTGGGTCAGCAAGTTTACTACGTCAGAAAACCATACATATGCAATTGGTTATGTGATGCAAACATGAAAATGTAATAGTTTAGTAAGTGTGCTTTGAGGTCATGAGATAAAGTACTGTGCAAGAAACTGCACAGAAATAAGTCTTTATTAACTGATAGTCAGTGTTCATATCAACTGGAAACTCCAGTAAATTGTATGTACAGATACATTTTAGACTCAAAAATAAAGGTAGAGCACATATTTCCACTGTGTCTATGTTAGGAACTTTGTGATTTGGGGCTGCATTCTGCAGGGTAAACATTCAGAATTAGTGAATGTTATGTTTTAAGCTCAGGAAAAATATTTATTCATATAAGATCTATGAAAGCAGCTTCTTTGTATTTTAATATCATTTGGATTGCTCATGAGAAAGGAGAGAGAGAGATGATGATGATGAATACTCTCCCATATGTACACATGGATGTGAAATGAGTCTTCTGCATACATCACTGGTTGAAGTACAGAAAGAGCTGCAAGCAATGACTATAATTATCTTTGGTTTACAATTAAATGTGATGGAAGAGAAGGCCAGCTCAGGGCCTTACACACACAAACACACACAACTCACTCTCATTACTGTAATGAAAAAAAAAGCTTGTAAGAATACATGTGGTGTACTATACACCGCGTGCATAATTATTTGGTACGTTGATATTCTGATGATATTTTTTTCCAAGCACATTTTACCAATTCCAAACCACATCAATCTTAATAACTACTATTGATTTTGTATTTAATCATTTATAAGTGATATATAATTGTCCATGAAGGCTGGAAGTGAAAGACTCCTTATATTCAGGTGTGCAGAATTATTAGGCATGTTCACTTTTACTGATAAAATGAGCCAAAAAAGAGGTTTAACTCGGACTGAAAAGTCACAAATTATTAATCCCCATGAGAAATATTCAAAACTAATGCAATACAGAAATTGCAAAGTTAAGACATGACCATTGGACAGCAAAATGCTCACTGGGTCAGCGGGGTCAGAAAAAAACAGGTGCAGAAGAAAAGATACATGTTAAATGCAAAAGATTTAAGAATTAATGTGAAGAAGGTGTAAAACCATCAGGAAACATTTAGCCTCCTGCGCCAGCATTTCCCAGAACTGCAACCTTCCTGGAGTCTCTAGAATTACAAGGTGTCAGGTTCTCAGAGACTTTGCTTGGGTAAAAAATCCTAAAAAATGTCCCTCACTTAATAAGAATAACATGCTGAAGTAGGGCTGTGCAAAAAATCAAATGCGATTTTCATGCGCATCTGCCGCTCCATCTGAACGCACGTGCTGGAGATTTACTACTAATCACAGGAGTGGCTTTACTGACGAGATGCGGTTGAAAATCGCATTCGATTTTTTGCACAGCCCTATGCTGAAGTATTGTGAAATACATTAAGACTATTTTTATAGGCTTTATAGACAGATAAGTTTTGAGTGACACTTGAAGGACCAGCACCACATCCTCTTGTTCCACTGTTTGAAGAATTTATCTTCCAGAATCTGGCAGTAAGTTTTAGAAGCTAATTTTTAGTCAATCTCTGCAAGACAGACTTTTCAGAATAGGAGATGGACTAAAAATGAGCTCCTAAAACTAACTGCAACATGGAGCTAAGGAGAAAATTTTCGACGTAACCTACGCTCACTCTCACCCTCCCGGCTATCTGCTATGGTTTCATCTTCGCTTCCTCCCCCTGAACAGTTAGCATCTGTTGATGCTAACAGTGCTACTTTCTGCTCCACTCTTACATCTTGTTTAGACACTGTCTGCCCCTTGTCTTCCAGGCCAGCTTGTACCACCCCTTCTGCCCCTTGGCTGTCTGATGTTCTCACATTTCTCCTGCCGTTGTACCTGCACTCACTCACATCGTTAACACATCCCTTCACACTGGTGTTTTTCCCTCAGCATTTAGACAGGCTCGTATAACCCCACTACTTAAGAAACCCACCCTTAACCCATCTCTTTTAGAGAACTACATACCGGTTTCCCTTCTTCCTTTCATTGCAAAAACACTTGAATGAACTGTGTTCAAGTCTCTGCCTTTCTCACACAGAACAACCTCCTCGACAGCAACCAGTCTGGTTTCAGTAGTTGACATTCAACTGAGACTGCCTTGCTCTCAGTTGTTGAAGACCTAAGACTGGCAAGAGCGGATTCCAAATCTTCAATACTTATCTTGCTGGATCTGT